ATATTTCTTTAATTATAATTATAATTATTATAATTATAATTGTAATCATAAATATGATTTAAATATAATTTATAATTATAGTCATAATTCTTAAAATATTTAATTATAATTATAATTATAATTAAAGTTATGAAAAATTATACCTACTACACTGATTATAATTATAACTATAATTATAATTGTAATTGTAATTATAATTATAATTACTCTGTATAATAATAAAAATAAATAATAATAATAATAATAATAATAATAATAACAAAAATAATAACAATAATAATTATAATAATATGGAGTAATAATAATAATAATAATAACAACAACAACAATAATAATAAATCATAATCATAATAATAATCATAATAATAATAATCACCTAAATAATAATCATAATATTAATAATAATAATTATTATTATTATTATTATTATTATTTTATAATAATAAAAGTGATAAATCATGTTTGAAATTTTCTGATCTGATCTGAATCTTTCTGATCTGATCTGATCTAATCTGGTCTGGATGATTCTGATCTGATCTGATCTGATATGAATTTTCTTGATCCGATCTGATCTGATTTGAATAAAATAAGAATAAGCAATAAGTAATAAGAATAAGACGAACAGAACAACACCTTAATTGTAATTATAATTATAATTAAATATTTTTAGAATTATGACTATAATTATAAATTATATTTAAATTATATTTATTATTACAATTATAATTATAATAATTATAATTATAATTAAAGAAATATTCAGATCAGATCAGAAAGATTCAGATCAGATCAGAAGGATTCAGATCAGATCAGAAAGATTCAGATCAGACCAGACCAGATCAAAAAGATTCAGATCAGATCATATCAGAAAGATTCAGATCAGATCAGATAAGAAAAATTCATATCAGATCAGAACTTAATAAATTCAGATCAGAAATATTCAAAGACTAAGAGAACGGCTTCTTAGAAGTTCGGGATAAGGGTCAGATAGGGTCTCGAACTTACAAAAAAATGTCAAATAAGGCCTTATATAAGATGCTCTGTCCGTACAACGCCATTTGGGGCGGTTCCCGATGGAATTTTTTGATGAAATTGTTTGAGCATTTTATTCATTAAGTCTAGTTTAGTCATGCCAAATTTGAACTAAAAATTCAATTAGGAAGACATTCAAATAAATTCTTGAAGATAACTGCGCTTTTAACTGCACAGTTATTTTCATGAATTCATTTGAATGCCTTCTCGATTGAATTTTTAGTTCAAATTTGATATGAGTAAACTAGACTTAATGAATAAGATTATCAAAAACTTTCATCGAAAAATTTCACCGGGAACCGCCCCAAATGGCGTCGGTCGTACAGAGCATCCTATATATGACCTTATTTGACATTTTTTTGTAAGTTCTAGATCCTATCTGACCCTTATCCCTAGAAGTTCAGATCATAACTTAATAAATCTTCCCCAGACTACAAATCAACCATATAAACTTCTGACCTTCAGTAGGCAAACAATGTCAGGAAAAGAAGTTCGAGAGTACACTAATCTCCCCGACCCTAAAGGTTCGGTTCACATCTGCACATTCCTTTTTCCGATTCACCCTGTCTACCCATCAATTTTGCCAAGTGTTGGGGTTTATTATTTCTTTATCTTGAATTCGTTGATGATAAATGGATATTTTTGCTTTCCTCTCACACTCTAAAATTTCTTTATTTTCAAAAAATTGTATTTTCAGACAAGAAGTGGGGGAAAAACAAGGACAAAATAGATGACGAGGAAATTACTTTCCAGCGCATGGTTGCCAAGGTTAGCAAATCTGGCTTCTCCTCCCCTCCGGCTTTAAACTAAAAAATTAATTTGGTTCTGTTAGTTTTACCTGGTTTGTATTTTTCAAAAAAAAAAAAAAAAGAATCCATGATTTGATTTGGTTACATGATGGATGATTAAGGGGTTAGGGGTTTACTGTTCTTTCAGTTTCAGCAGCATTCTTTTATTATTTCTTTGAAAAATAACTATAATGCATAGTTTGAGGTTATGAACAAGTTGCCCGTTTGCTGAATTACTACAAATTACTGTAAATTAGGACTTGGAAGTTGGGAATGTTACCTCTATTGGGACAGTCTGTATGACTTACATACTGAAAATACTTTATTTTTTAGTGTGGAAGGGATGTACTCTGCATTTAGTTCCCATTATGGTACTGTCTATGAAATGAAGGGCTTTTAAGCTTATTTAATTTAACAACAACAACAACAATAATGCAAAAGTAATATTTTGTTATAAGGTTGTTAAAATCCATCAGTATTTCTAAATAGATAATATACAACCAGGTCACTTAGCAAAAGATTAGTGTTGCAATGTTGTTTTTATAAAATAGGATATAATATCATGGCCCACTGCCAAGAATCAAATTTGCAGCCATTTTGAAGTTGCAGTTTTTCTGTTTGAGAAAGGTTCCGATAGAACAGTTCTGTTAGTGGATGTACTAGGATTCTAGGAAGTGATTTCAGGTGAAAGTTGTGTTGTGTGGTATGTCTTGATAGTCAGTTGGTGATAAAACTCAGAATCAAATCAATTATGAAACATTGAGACTGAAATAAGAACATCGTTTTTTTCAAATACCTTTGCTCTGAAATGCATAATTTGTCATTGTTTTATATTTTTCAAAACATGGCTACTCAACCCCACTCTTATGGATATTTTCTTCTCCCAAAAACAACATTTGGGTGCATTGAAACATTGTTCTTGAGGTTCTTCTTTGGCTAGAGAACTTGGACCTTTCGATTGGAGCTTAGATAGGGCTACACTCTTTAGAAATTGTGGGAGGAACTGGGGGGTGTTTCCGAGCTTTTTCCAAGCTTTGTGATATGGACTATAACAAAAGCTGAACAGGTCTCCTGCTAAGTTCATATCTTTTTGGTAGCAATAAACTCTTTTGCGTGGAGTTCCATTCCAAGTTCAATAATCTTCACACAAGCAATAACAGTTAGGATTTGCAGCCAACCTGTCCTGGCATTGACTTCTCATTGCAGTTAGAGCAAAGACCTTGCTCTCTCTCTCTCTCTCTCTCTCTCTCTCTCCCTCTCTCTCTCCCTCTCTCTCTTCTCATTCAAAGAGAGTCTTCAACTGTCTCCCTACCTAACACCTATTCCTTTATTCACCATACATACTAATCTTTGAAGCTAGTCAGGTCGATTCTCCCGAATTTAGATTTGATTATTTTTCATGTTTACTTTGGACAAAGACTTGGTCGGAAGCATTCTAGCTGCCTGCTCTTATAAGACCTATATTTTGCCCATTATTTTCCAAACAAAAGAGTCATTTGACTGTTACCCGAGCAAACACCCATCCCTCTGTCCACTATCTATAGTCCACACTAATCTTTGAAGCTAGTTTGGTCGACTCTCCATTTCTCCCAAATTCTATGCTTGTTCATCTTTCATGTTTTCCGACCTAATTGTCTTTCACAAATACTTGGCAGAGAACATCCTAGCTGCCTGCTTTTATTCAATTTATTTTCACCCGTTATATGCCTTAGAAGGGTATCTCGGGTCCAAGGTTTAAAAAGGCTAGTTAGGGAATCACAACGCTTTGTTTAGAAGAAGCGAAGCATAAGCCATGAAGCGCTGCTTTGAGGCATAAGCCTCAAAAGATAACCCAAAAAAATATCCTTCAAATTTTTATTCGCTCAACTACTAAGTTCCAACTTGTGATATGGATATAGTTCGAGAATGTCCGAAAGTGTCAATTTTGGACATAATTCAAGTCATTTTGGATGTCATAATTCATACGCATGACATAATTCAAGACTTTACAAAAAGTGCCAACTTTACCCAAAACAAAAGTTAACAATCCAGGAAAAAACTTAACATATAATCGCTAGAGTGATACAATATAGAAATCTAGAAGTTTAGTCCAAACCATCATGACTTGAAGGGATTTAATAACCCTGTCCTATCACTTCCATCACCACTGTCAAAATCTCCCCATTCTTCTTCTTCATCATCTTCCTGACTACCACAGCTAACATTTTTTTTCTTACCTGTCCATTGTGTACTGCTCTTTTTTCATTTTTATTTTTTCATTTTTTCTTATTCTTTACTAGGTTTGCAAGTATGTATGGACACATTTATTGGATTGAGCCTTATTACTTATATAATTGTAGTCTCACAACCCAAGTTGCTTGACCTCCTTTAAAAAAGCCCCAAAGGTGCAGAAAAGGCGTACACTTGACTGTTGAGGGCATAATTTTTTTTTTTTTTGCAAGTGCTGAGGGCCTAAACCTCTATAACAGTATGGAATGCTGTACATTGAGATGAACTTCAAAATGCACCTCCTTACCACATTTTTAAAACTACACTTGGGACTACCCACACAGTAGGTCATAAGGCATTCAAATTCTCCATGGAAGTGATACAAGAATTAGCGTTTGTTAGAATCTTCATTGAACCCAACTCCTTTTTTTTTATCCAAACAGAACCCGAAATCTCTTCTTTGAACAGGGCACGTTATCTCCATGCTCCTTGACAGTATGTCCTAAGTAGCTATTGCAACCACTGATTTTCCTTGATATCAAACTAATAGTCCGGGAACATTACTTCTTGTTAAACTGACATTCCTGGAACTCGAAGAATTGGATTGCCTGATTGGACTAGTCAGTAGGACAGTATCTGCGCGTCTGACTAGGTCACCACTGGTGTATTTTGGAAACTCGATCCCGAGATCTTAGGCATGACAGTAGTTCTTCCTGGAATTCATGTACTTCTCGTTCACTGTCCGCCAGATTCATGTTTCTGACTGTTTGAACTTAAGCCAGTTATCTGATCTTGCCTACTGGAGTACTGGAACGTTATTGACATTAAGTTGAATGCCAATAACACTTCTAGAACTTCCAAGCCACTAAGGGCTGCTAATTCAGAAAACTAGGTAAAATGATATCTTGGGAATTAGGACTATGGATGTTATTTTTGTAAAGAAGGATGGCATGTCAATTAATGATTAGTGAGTGAAAGAATGAGTAGCTATGAACAACATACCGGGCCATGCAGAATATGTTCAATTTTTATCGTAACGCAAAACTACACAACTATTCTTAGTTGAATGCATAATTGTACTCCGCCATCTCATTGTATGTGCCTCACTCGTCCAATGAGGCAAAAATGGAGATATTTGCGATTCAAAACATGTACGGTCAAGTCTATTTTAATTATATATAGATTTGAAAGAAAATAAGGCACAGACAAAAGTTTGAGTTTGACTGATGAGGAGTAAGGTAAAGTGAGACAAGAGAGTATTTTTTTAAAAATAATAGTTTGGATTTTGGAGAATAGACACGCTTCTCCACATAGTGAATCTAGTCTAACCATTGGTGCAAAAAGTAAATTGAATCAATTAAAGCCTTTAAAGGTCATGGTGTGTAACTCCTAGAGTCCTAGTCTCCTTGTATCAATTAATTTTAGTTTGTTTTTCATTTGTAAAATGAAGAGGTTTTCATATTGATCTTTACCCTTCAAGTATGCTAGGTGGCTTATTATTAAAACGTTTTTATTAGTCAAGGGTCTTAAAGTATATATCATGGGTCAAGTAGAAGAGTAATCCTACGTTGTACAAGAATGTGCTAACTGTCAAGAGATTAAGTTTATGAGTCATACCATGACACCTTGGGAGCAAGTGATTGATCAACATGACGAGATAATGTTTTAAAACAAAGTTGGAATTATGGCGACAACTCTATAGGGTAAGGGTTTTAGACCGAGTCAAAACAAGACTGAGTATATAATATAAGTTTAGTGGTGGTATAAATAGTGGTAATAGTGAGATTACATTGGAGTCTAAGGAGATCCCGATTAGTGTTATGTTTCGTTACATGGGCTTCATAATTTTGAAGTGTGGTGCATTAGATGGAGATGTATCGAATTATATTGAAGATAAAATGCGAGAGTCTCTGTTGCAGTCATTTGATCATTTGTGTAGAAAACAGAGTGATGCACTCGTTATACGGATAGAGAGGTGGGGAGAAGAGGAAGGGAGGAGAGGGAGGGGATGGCATGGACAAATGTGTCATTGACAAAGAAAAGTCAATGACAATCAGCTTTAACCAATGATATTTTTTAATACGAAGTTCTTCTAAATATGGAAATTATATCAAAGTGTTCTTTATTGGAAGTATTTTCATAAATTATATACAAATATAATAATTAAAACCATTGTCCAAAGTTTGTCATGATCGACCAAGAAAAGTCAATATGACTAACCTTTTTGGGATGGAAGTAGTATGTCCATTCATGTTCGCCGCCCTGAATTCGGGTTTAAAGCTTGGATGTTGTTTTTGGGTCATGGGTGTGCAACAGGTAAAATTCAAGTGGCTATTTGGCCACCTTAATCTTTGAAGTATATTGTGAATTTGTTGTAACTAGCTAGAAAGGAACTAAAAAGCCTTTTCTATTTGTATAGTCTTAGTATACTATACAAAGTTACAAACAAATGTTAGACCTTAGGCCATTTTGAATTCATTTCTCTAGGAAGTAGGCGGTTTTCCACATATAGTAGTAGTGATGTCGTTTACCAAAGTTCATGATGGGAGACTCTACACGTCTACCAATGATTTAAAACCCAGACGAGTAGTTGAACTGTTATACAATTGAGCCATGATCTGACTCGTTAGACTAAGAGTCCAACTGGTAAAGTAATTATTGAATAAAAACTATTAGATATTTATAACCTAAGAAATACTATCGTATAATTTATCATAAAAGATGGAATGTATTAAATAACTAAGGAGATATTCAAGTTGATCGGCATTTATTCAGGGACATTGATTTAGTTGATCGATTTGTATTCCTTAATTAACAATTTCCATACTTACAAATTAGTTGTTCTCCTTAAAAGAAAGACATCGAGAGTTGAAAATAAAATAGGGAAAATGGAAACTAATAATCCAACCTTTTAGCGGTCTTCTTTCAATAATCCCACGTTTTGATTATTCATGAATAATCCAACCTTTGCACCTCATCTTCATTCATTGGTCCCTGGTCGGTTAATGACCTACTATTCCAAGTTATTTTCTTATCTTTGCAAAATATTATCTTTGTGAAAGATGAGATTTATGGTATAATGATTTGCAAAGATAAGAAAATAGCTTGGAATAGCAGGTCATCAACCGGTCAGGGACCAGTGAATGAAGATGAGGTGCAAAGGTTGGATTATTCATGAATAACCAAAAGGTTGGATTATTGTAAGAAGACCGCTAAAAGGTTGGATTATTAGTTTCCATTTTCCCAATAAAATATTTGGTTTTAGGCCGGGACAAGAACTATTCTTGGAGGAAGGTTCCTTCGGGGCTCTTGGAGAGTTTCTCTGAACTCTCTCTTTTGTTCCTTTGCTGTTAGTGAAGTTATCTTTGTGCTTTTCTACTTTTAAATCCTAAATCTGATACGTATATACGACATAATGCTATAAATATGAGAAGTAAATATAAATTTGTCAGTTGTTACATGAGTTAGAAACGAATGTACATTATTGTACATTTCAATTTGATTTTAGTAGAGAAGCTCACATATGAAAACATAATGTCAAATGATTCAATAACAAGTAAACACAATACTCTAATAACTGCCCTGCAATGACATCATTTTGTTGATATGTTTATGAAATAGTGAAAGACAATTGTAACATGACTAAACTGAAAACTTCTAAGAGAAAAAGACGTTTTCCCTTGGATTCCCATTTTATCACATGTCTAGACTGCTGCAAGTCTCATAAACCCGTCCCAGGTTCTGGACCATATCCGGGTCTGCAAAACTTGTTGGGTCCAAACGGACGACCAACAAATGAAACGGTTCATCAAGTCAAAGAGACCTCTTTCACTTCAGGCCTTCCGGGTGGCGGGTCAAGTGGTCAATTGACCTGAATGTCCACTTTGTCTGGTCTTAGAACATTGATGTAAACTTTATGTGGAGAACCGTTCTGATAACATGCCCCGGCAGGGATATTGGCTTTTCCTACTGGGTTGGCACTTGATGTTCAGATGCAAGATGTAGCTGGAGAACGTGGAGGCTATCTTCATGGACGGGGCGGTATTGTTTCTCACTCCTCACTCCTTGTATTTTATTTCCACATTATCCAAATCCAATTACACCACCTTTTCTAGAAGACACACGGGCAAAGCATCAATAGTTTATCTATAATGTTCATTAGCTTTTTTGAGTGTGTCCAAGTTTGAATGTGCAGCCCTGGACAGTGATGACTTGCTTTATCTCAAGGAGCAGATGGAAGCCGAGGAGGATGCAGAACGCCTCTTGAGGCGCACTGAAAAACGTGCTTTTGCGGCATTCAAGATATCCTTTTTTCCCCTCTGTCCACTGGTTTAATATTTTTGTAGAGAATGAAATGAATATCTCTATCATGCCGCGTAAAATGAAGGGAAAATCTTACATCAACAGTGCATATCTGTTGTTTTGGTCTTGTCTTACCTATTGTGTTAGAGTTCATCTGGTTCTATCATCTCCTACTCAACCTCTCCCCTTCCGGGTCATCTTGTAGATTAGTAGACTATAGACAAATCTTCACTCCCACAACAACAACAATAAGAACATTCAAGTCTTAGTCCCCAAAAAGTTTGGAGCTAAATATAACAAAGAAAAAAAATAAAAGATGAGATAAAAAGAAACATATAGATAAAAAAGATAAAAAACGATAAGATAAAGATAAGATAAAAGATAAAATAAAGATAATGATAAAAAAGACAAAAAGATAAATAACATAAGAAACATAAAAAAGATAGAAAAGATGAAAAGAGATCAACCTTTCACCCGAATATGCTGCCTTCACTTCGTTCTTTCCAAAATCATACTCCGAATCTTCACCTCCACGTATGAAAATTCAGCCACTCCAAGTTTTTTCCTGTGGAGTTGCTTGTTTCTTTTAATCAGATAAGGTGGTCTTATAGATGATTTCGTCTTACGATGCCATAGAAAAATGCGAACTCTTACGTCACATGCAACTGAGATTTGAGATGGCATATCTATCTATAAATAGAATAGGGTGGGGGGAAATTTGATTGTAAAGTTTGTAAAGTAAATGGAGTCATGGCGGCTAATTTAATTTCATCTAGTTTTATGCCATCATAGTGAGATCTATAATCTATGTAGTCTCAAACGTGGATGGATGTAACTAAAATAACGTTCATCAATTGTGCCTGCGAGCAACCTTGTCATTTCTCAACATACAAAAAACAAAGACTCAGTGGAATCATTTTTTTTGGGGGGGTGGGGGGGTGGAAGGTTGTATTTTGCAACTTGCATATTTGATGATATCCTTGATTACCATACACAAAGCTGTAGCGGATTCTTCACCAGCTACTTTACCCCTTCCACTTCGGGTTGAGCCAAAGGCAAAAAGTGGAATCAGGTATTGGCGTCTCTTTTCATTTGCACACTCTTGTAGTTCGAGATTTTATTATGAGTTTTCCTCAAGGTGTAGTCCTATGATATTGACGTGCATTAATGTAAAGCAAAATTTGCTGAACTATATAGGCAACAAGATTTACTGAAAAGGGTGATTGAAGTCAAACCTAAACGGCATCGAGTCTCTTCAACAACATATGCTTCTCCGAGCAGGCTTGATACAGAATCCAACAAAAAGCCATCAGCTAGACTGAATAATGACGAAGCAACTAACAAAGTGAAGGCGGAAAACCCAGTTACCACCTTGTTAGCTGCATATGAGAGTTCAGATGAAGAAGACTGATTAGTCTTTGGTGTATGATGAGTCATGTTTAATCGATGTAGAAGCATTACACATTAAATTTATATTTAAGCACTTTGGCTTACTTGTGTTTAACATAGTTGGCTTAGTAATTCAGTCTTATGTAATCAGGTTTCCCTTAGTCCGCCCTAAATTTGGGTATTTACATTGAAGGGAAGATAATGCGCTGACGACTTCAACACTGAGAGACTCTGTAATTTGGCAATTAAATGATAATGTATATTGACAATTTAAGTTGTTAGCTTGTGATTGGGAGAAGTCCATAGTTCAATACTTCAATCCGTTCGGATTTAGAAATATAAAAACCTTCTCTTTAACATCTTTTTATTATACTGATAAAGAAAACAGTAGTCATATACTCTCTCCGTCCCTAATAAAACTTCCATAATACAAAGAGATTTTCTATTTGTACACACATTTGTACACACATCCATACACACTATATATACCCAAAAAATTACTCCCATTCCTTTTCTTTACCCTTCTCTCTCCCTGACCTTTTCCCTACTCCCTCTCAGCCCTTCTTTTCTTTCTTTTGCTACCTCTCTCCTTCTTCGTTTATTCTTATACGGAGTAACTTTTATTCTCCTTCCCTTGGTTCTTCTTCTTTTGTTTCTTCTTACACCAACACCAACAAAGGGTCGACTGTTTCAGCCACCAACGCCTTCATAACGGCCATTTCCCCTTGTAGCCCTTTAGTCCTTCCTCTTTAAATCCGAGTCCAACACCAATGACGTGGTTGCAACTGGAATCTATGCAAACATCTACGAGGATGGGACAGTGTTTTCGCAGCTCAAACAGGAAGTTCATATCAACAACCTCTAATATTGAGGTAATATTCTAATTCGATTTTTCACTATGCATTTTAGGGTTATTTTATTTAAAATTTCTGATTCTTTTGTATATTAGGTATTGAATAAGCCTTAATAGTTGAGCATTTTGTATTAATGTTAGAGAATGTGGTGTTAGTTATTGAAGTTTTAGTTCAATTACTCTATTTCACATTTATGCTCATAACATGTTTGTTGAAATGACTCAATGATTTATTTTTTGTTTAAATTCAAGGCTTTTACTCTCCTTGTTTGTTAATTAGTTCAATAATCTAATTTTCTTGTTTCCCAACTTGAATAATGATATACCGGAGTATTTTTTTATTGACTATTTTATCTGATTAGTATGCTTTTGTTATTTAAGTAAATTATACTCTGTATATGTTATCATGTTGGAATTCTGACTACTTCCTTTCATTGATATAGGTTTGTGAGGTCAATCATTGAAACTTTAGTTAAAGCTATTCTATTTTCTTTTTATGCCCATTATATGTTTCTTAAAGTGATTCGATGAATTTCTTGTTCATATTTAAGATTTTTGGGAAAGAGGGCTTTAGTAAATTGCTTTTTATATATTCGTTGTACCCATTTGATGTTTTTTCCATGTGAAGAACAATTTTAGTATACTTTGGTGATAAATATTTACTTCTAGCAATTATATGACGTGCAGTGTAGTGAGTCAATTTTTTTTCAACCTATAGAAATGAATGTTTAGGTCCTAGAAATCAGTCTTACATGTTTATGTACTAAAGGTTTTGATTAGACTTTAGTTTGTTTAGTGAACCTTTTTATGTTTTTAAGTGTTTTAAGGTAGTTTGTATATGAATGATTTTGTGAGGCTGGTTTTCGGTTTACGAGTTTTTGGTTGAAGCATTTTGTGAACCTTGATTTCTTGTGATAAAAAGTATATTTAGAATGGAATACTCATATGTGATTTATTGTTTTCATATTCAGGATGTTGTTTCACTTCTTCTGGAGGTTAAAGGAGCTATGTGCACCCCTAAATGAGCTGAAAGTTGTGCACTCCAAATATCGTTTATGTCCTCATTCATATTGTCTGTGTGTGATTAAATCATTTTATGTATTTTTATTTATTTTATGTGTACCCCACATCATCTATGTCTTCACTTTATTGTCTTTGAATGGTTAAAGTATTGTATATTTGTTCATTTATTTTGTCTACGTGTAGACAATAATTGTATGATTGTGTTCATTTATTTTGTTTAATCGCAAACAAAGTACCTACGGTCTACGGAGTATAACAAATCATCAAAATGAGTATAAATAACATTTTAGTTTTTCGGCCAACTTAAAAAATGTACGAAAAGCATAATTTCAATTTCTTCGACAAAATTCAAAGTCATTCTTTGAATACAAAAGATACATTTTGAAAACTCAAACAATACAAGTCTAATTAAAGTCAAAATAAAAGTGAAATACAAACACTGAATATACACTCCAACATTATAGCCAAATTACATAATCTAAAATTTACAAATTACAATTAATTGTAAACCACAAACAAAACAAATGAACACACTAACAACGTTTTGACCACACACAATATAAATAAACACACAGACGATATTTTTAATCTCGCACAGACAATATATATGAACATACAAACAATAATTTTCTATGCACAAACAAAACAAATGATTACACGAACAATATTTCAAGCACACACAGACAATATAAATGAACTCAGACAACTTCTCACAATTTCAATTGGAATAGAAAATTATGAGAAGTCACTTCATATCTAGTTCAAAAGACAATTCCTCTCGGCTTATTAGTTTGTTTAAGTAACTATTGCTTGTGAACAAATAATTCATATCTGGTTCACATACACTAATGCATCCAAACAAAACAACTTACAATTACAAGATACTTTTTTATTGCGTCCATACAATTACTAACACTTTACTTATCCAACCCAACGTCACTAAATACTAATACACGTCCAATACAAAAAATTAGTGACAAGATTAATAACAATAACATTTCCATATTTTCATTCACCGCTTCATCCGACCTCACCGTCTGGAACTTGGGCTTATATGTAAATCAACAATCTCATCAACAATCATACCTGCAAAAGATAATTTAATGAGTAACATAACGTCCAATATTCGATATTTTCATACATTTAACATGAGATGAAAACATACATGCTTTAATTGTTTAAATCTTTGAACCTGATTCTAATTTAAAACTTTTAGAGTTTAGATGATAAACTAGTTCTTTCCACTTCATAAATAGTGTTAAGGTACAAATATTTTTATTTTGTGAATAACTACACATATCTAACTGATTGTTATAAAGGCCATGACAATAAATTAACCCCACATATAGCAGCCCTTGCTTATTACCCCCATAAAAACCAACAACAGGGAGTATTTTATTCTTTGCGTTGAATGCCTGGATACCCGAATCATCAAATTCGTGTTGCGCAATTGGACACTTCTCAGAATCAACAATCCTAGAAGTGTGCAGACACGAGAGGCATACTAATGCAATTTTGAAAAGCATGAGTAATGGATTACCTCTCTAAAGGTCAGAAGGTTTAGAATAACTTCTAGTTTTCTACTAACTGTCAAATTGCTCTTCCCATAAATGATCACCACACTGACTCAGAAAGACAAAATATATACACAAGTTCAACATTCACACCACATCAAGACAACAATAAGCACCACTTTAGTAGCCCATAATAACAAGAACCTCCTGATATTCACTACTTCCTCCGTCCCAAATTATAAGATACTTTTCGGTTTACGATGTTTGACCGATGATAAAGCAAACAGATCCCTGTGTGCACTCAAATTAATTTTAGAAAAAAAGAATTACATATTCAGAAACTACATTAAAACCGCTACAAAACCTGCAAAAAATAATTCAAATTTCATAAAATTTTGATGTATAAAGTAAGAGATTAAGAGTGATTTGTGTTGATCAAGTGAATAATAAAGACATCTTATAAAATGGGGCAGAGTGAGTATTTAGTTCATTAGATGAATTAGGAAACCGGTTCATGCACCACTAGCAATTTGAATTAGCCTGAAACAAAATATAAAAGGTTTTAAAAAGCAAGCTTAAAATTTTTAAAGCATTGTAAAACAACAAAGATCAACTTGACAATCATTTGTGATTCCTAACTGGTAATCCAGTCTATTCAAAAGTTCATAGTATTTGTAGTCTATTCAGGTTATACTCTAGTATTTTAATTTGGGTTCACAAGGTCCTCAAAAACAGGAAGCGTAGAAGACCTACTGCTAATTAGAAAGGTCTCCTAAGATTGATTTGTTCTTTGCAGACAACAAGTATCGCCGTATATATTGTTCCCATGCAACTATCATATTATATACGTAGTATTTTTTGTATATAATAAAGAAGTAATTGTCGATGACACACATGGTTATTACATATCTACAAAAATGCAAAATTCCAGCCACCCACTCTTCAACTTATTTGAAGCAACTTGCAGAACAAAAACTAGAAATAAAAGCATATATAATAGGAAATAAAATAGTCAATAAAAATAGCTATATCATTATTCAAATTGGGAAACAAGAAAATTAGAATCTTGAACTAATTAACAAAAAAAGGACCAGTCACAAAAAAGAGGAGATTAAAAGTCTTGGATTTAAACAAAAAAAATCATTGAGTAATTTCAACAAACATGTTATGAGCATAAATGTGAAATAGAGTAATTGAATTAAAATTTCAATAGTTAACCCTACATTCTCTTACAATAATACAAAATATTCAACTAATCAGTGTTATATCATACATTATACACAAATAATCAGAAATTTTAAGTAAACAAAACCCTAAAGTGCATATAGAAAAATCGAATAGCTTACCTCGATTTATGGGCTGGTTGAGCAGAGCTTCTTGTTCGAGCGGACTGTTTCATCTTCGCTGTCTATGTCGATTCGGCAACCATGCGGCTGATGGGAGCTGAGAAACGAACAAATGAAATAAGGAGGAAAAAGAAGAAAGAGGAGTGGGATGAGATGGGGAGGAGGAGGGATGTGAGAGAAGGAAATGGGAAGTGAAAGGGTAAAAAAATCCTATACCTAAAAGCACTACACCGGAAAGAGAAATTTCTCCCGCCTAAATGCTATGGACCCAATCGTAATTTCACCAATCCGCAAAAAAGTTACGCATTTCTCCTCTTCTGCCGCCGCACCTTCTTCTTCCTAAAAACTACTTCTCTGAGTTCTCTTTTTCAGACGCACGCACTACATCGATCGTTAGCGCTAGAGGTACCAGGTACTACTCCTCTCTATTTAGTCTATACAAATTTAGATCTGATTCCGTTCTAGCTCTCTATTTAGTCTATACAAATTTAGATCTGATTTCCTTCTAGGTTTTCTTTCATTTCAAACTGAGCGTTATCTTCTCA